TGTCAATTTAGACGATTCGCGATTTAATAATGTGTAATGTAAATGTAAGTACTATTTGTATTGTTTAATTTATTTTTCAAGTTTTAATAAATATATCCTTCGTTAGGTTCTTTCACTTCAATACTTATACACATAAACGATAATAGCCAATATGTTTGTGTACTCGCTAATTTGAATACTGCTAAACAATCAACTAGTTACAGTTTACGAAAAACGGTTCCGATAAAAATTTAAAAAACGAGAGGACCCACTTCTAGTTTTTTTGGTATATTAGGATCGGAACCACAGAATATGTAAAATATCTCTGATCGGAACTATTCGTCTCACTAAGGGCAATGAGTGTTAAAAATATTTATGGAGGGGAGACCAAGGGGAAATATGATTGTTATCTTTGTCTATTCGCTGAAAATATGATTTTATATCTGCGTTAGATATCCTGTTAAATTTTACCATACCGACCATAAACTTTTACCTACACTGTATATATAGACTATGAGTAGAAAAAATCAGCCATACACAGTTTGGTTTTCGGAAAACAGTGGGTAGAAAAGAGGCTCTTTTTACCATATAAGTTCTATTTTAACGATGTAGAGATATAAATTGCGATATTTATACATGCTTTATTTATTACCATAAAGCGTTCGACACAGTAAAGTACGACAAGCTGATGGAGATGTCAACAAATATTGGAATAAACAACTGTGATTTAGGAATTATTAGCAACCTTTACTGGAATCAAACATCGTATATTCGTATAGAGGCAGGAAAATTCGATGATATCAAAATCAAACTTGAGGTTCGACAGGGATGTATACTATCACCCTTGCTGTTTAACATATAATCTGAGGAAATCATTCAAGAAACAGTAGAGGATGTTGGAGCCGGAATTCTAATTAACGGAGAATGTAATAATAACATCAGATACGCGGAGGACATGATGGTATTCGCTGACAGTTATGAAGCCCTCCAGGAGGTAATGAATAAAATCACAGAAGCGAGTCAGAGATATGGACTTTTACTGAACATTAACAAAACAAAATGTATGATGATCTCTAAATAAGACAGCATTTTGAATGTATAAGTGTAAATGGCCAACCAATATAAAGAGTATAAAATACACCTATCTTGATACAAACGTCAATGAAAATTGGCACGACTCCGTAGAAATAAAATGTATTATACAGAAAGCAAGATCTGCATTCCAAAAAATGGCAAAGCTATTTAAATGTTACGATTTATCAGTATTCATAAAAATCAGGTTACTACGATGGTATATTTTTCCTATTTTGTTGTACGGAGTTAAGTCGTAAACTCTCACAGACGCTACCTGCAAGAAAGTTGAGGCTTTCGAAAAGTGGCTTTATCGTCGAATCCTGAAGATATCCTATACCGACCAAGTTACTAACCAGGATGTTTTATTAAAAATGCAAAAAGGAAAAGAGTTGATAACCACAACAAAAACAGCAAACAACGATTACCTCGATCACATCATGAGAAACAGCGAAAGATGTGCGTAGCTGCAATTAATTCTACAAGGAAAAGTGAAGAATGGCTAAAAATCTACGTACGTGGTTCAACTCCACAATCACAAATTTTTTCAGAGAAGCAGTTTGCAAAATACAGATTACCAGGATGGTCGTCAACATCCGAAACGCATAGGCACTACAATAAGAAGAAGAATTTATATTATTATTAACATAGCCTTCATAACCCTTTTGAATTTTGGCCTGTTTACTTGGTCCTCCATTTATGCATACTGGTCGATTTGGCTCTCCACTTTCTAGATTTGAATGTTTGTCGATTTTCCTGTACTCAGGCTATATATCCTCATTATTGGTCGTTATTTAGATTACTTTACCAACCATGTTTTATTGAATAAATCGGATGATTTTATACACTCTAAATGACGAATCCATCTTACTCTTTCAATCTACTTCCTTATTTGCTTTACAACATTAGACTCTTCTTAAATTTGGTACAAATAATAAATATTTTTGTGTCTTTATATGGCATTTTGTACACTTCCTGCCATATATATATATATATATATATATATATGAATATTTTAGTAGCAATCATTTGATTTTATCAGTACCCAGGTTTTTGAGCTGTGGGTCAACACTGATCTGATCGATATTTTTTCTAGATCTGGCATTTAATTGTAGTGCAACCTTAATTGGTGCAGACGGCACTAGAAGAAGAAGAGAGTTCGTTGACTTGCTAAGTAGGTTTTCAGCTTAATTTATTTATTTCTGGTTGTGTAAATTGTAAAGCAAAGTAGTTAAGTAATCCCTCGCTACAAAAGGAGTCAGGATATATAATCGTATTAACCCTAATAACCCTGACGTTCTATATGTAGGACGCTAATTTCAATAATTTTTGAACACGGCCCTGTTTAAATTTGATAACGCCGTCTATCACAAAATGTTACTCAAGGACAAATCGTCCCATTATTGTTTAGTTTGTTTCTATCGCTTGAAACGTCTACTTGTGGTGCGGTTGTAAAAAACGTAAAATATGGCTGAGCATGGAATCAGATTTGCAAGGTAAGAAATGAATATTAAACTTTTGATAAAATATACTTTTTTATTATGTTATTTGTATATAAGTGTTCATTTTTCCAAATCGTGAAATAATTTTATCCAAAATGTTTGCCAGTTGGCTGCCAGGTGGTGATAAATTTGACCGTCCTACATGTAAGATGTCAGGATTATGTACTATTATGGCATGAAAATTATAATTTTGAGTAATTATTGTAATCATTGGATATTTTTGTTTATTTTACTTAGTACTTAGCCCAAAAGAATTTGTTGATAGTATTATGAACATACTGCTTTTATTGTTTCAGGGGTTTTTCTTAACATGAGGCCTTGGAGATGTTAGAAGAAGATGAATTTTCCCATTCTCAAGCTAATGTAGTTCTCTTACCTCCGGAAGATGCCGCTGAAACAGATGAGGATTCTGGTGATGAAGAAAACGTGTCTCCGGATAATTTGCCTTCAAATATGTTGAGAAAAGTAGCTCTCGTATCCTCATGTACCTCGTTCGGTTGACTCAGACTCGGATGATTATATTCCATTATCAAATCTGTTAAATCTGAGAAAGTTTTGAAAATTCCACAGCAATACCACTGGTCTGAAGTAGCAACCACCTCAGAGGAAGCAGAAATACTTGATTAGTCAAAGGATAATGATCTCAATATTGATACAGAAGATACTCTAATAGACTGGTTCATGAAGTTGTTCGATGAAGAAATTTTTGATTTACTGGTTGTCGAATCCAATAGATATGCAAGTATAAAAAATAAGAAAAAGAAGCCTATATGTATCGAAGAAATCAAAGCATTAGTAGGAATTATTATTCTTAGTGGTTATGCTCAATACCCAAGGCAGAAGATGTATTGGGAAAAGGATAGAGACGTCTGTAATTCCTTAGTTTATGGGGCACTTGCTAGGGATAGGTTTGATTTTATAATGAGCGTTCTGCATATAGCCGATAATAATAATTTGGATCATTCTGATAAATTCAGTAAAGCTAGACCTCTCTTTAGGTTACTAAATCAAAATTTTTTAAAACATGCAGTTTTAGAAGAGAACCACAGTGTTGATGAAGCCATGGTTCCTTATTTCGGGCGTCACGGCTGTAAACAGTTTATAAAGGGTAAACCGATAAGATGGGGATATAAACTTTGGGTTGGATGTAACAAAAATGGGTACGTAACGTGGTTTGAGCCATACCAGGGAGCATCAACACACGTATCGCCTAAATACAAGGATTTTGGTGTCGGCGTAGGTGTGGTACTCAGTTATGTTGACATTCTTAGATCAAAGTGGGAGCTGAAAAAAATTTCATTTATTTTTTGATAATTTTTTTAGTACAATGCCTTTATTTGAAATGCTGACAGAAAAAAATATCAGAGGAACAGGAACCATAAGAAGTAACAGAATACCAAAAAATCCGCTGAAATCGGCAAAGGAGTTACAAAAAGACAAACGAGGTTCGTACGATGTTAAGTTTGACGGTAATAAGAAATTGACAATTGTCAGCTGGCACGATAATAGTGTTGTATTGCTCTGCTCGAACGCAGTTGGTACGAATCCTATTCATCAAGAAAAGCGATATTCGCGACAAGAAAAAAAAACGATACTTGTTCCTCAACCATTTATGGTAAAATTATATAATCGAAATATGGGCGGCGTAGATCGTATGCGATCAAAACGTAAGTTTATATAGAACTGGTATTAGAGGAAAAAAGTGGTACTTTTGTTTGTTTACTCACTGTATCGATTTGGCTATACAGAATGCTTGGCAACTACATCGAAGCAATCAGGGCACTTTGGATCAATTAGCTTTTCGACGACGCATTGCAACTTCACTTCTTCAGCTTTATACAAAAGCGACTTCATCTTCTTGTGGACGGCCAAGTCGAAGAGAAAATGCCGATTCTCGTTTCGATGGAATGCATCATTATGTAATTGATCAAGAAAAACAAACTACATGTCGCTACTGCCATAAAAAAACAACTACAAGATGTCAAAAATGTGATGTTGGTATCCATGTACGCTGCTTTGTGAGTTACCACACAAATGGTAGTGCTTGATCCTGACGTCCTAGATGTAGGACGCTAATTTTTTTTTGTGTACATTGCGATTTTTTGCAATATAATTACAGTAATGTATTCAGGTGTTCCAAATAAAACATATTAATAACAAAAAATTGCAGTTTTAATACTATTTTTTATGTCAGGATTATCTGGTTTAATAAAGAAATCCAGAAAGAATTTTTCATTATGCATTTTTTTGAGTCTTAATCACAACTGATACCACTAGACACATGGCAGACTAGAGTGGATACCATGAAATCAGTAACAGTGAACAAAATTTACGTCTTGTAAAAATTAAGCTATAGTTTAAAAAGGGGGAGTTTAGCAACTATATTAAAATATTTATTAAAATTAACGAAAATTGTAAACAGTTTTTGTATCCTTTTCTTTGTTTTAGTGGAATCTTATTTGTGAGAAAGACTTTCTAGTCACATTAGCCCTTGTTTTGTTCGGCACCAGCGGCTTAATTGGAAACTATATTTTTGGATATGTGCAAGATGGTTTTGGAAGGAAACCGGCTTACTATATATATTTATTAATAGGATGCATTTTTGGTGTAGCCACTGCTTTTGCCGAAAATTACGTCATGTGGGTAATCTTTAGAATTGGAGTCGGATTTACCGTTCCGGCTATTTTAGGTACGCCCTACGTTTTAGGTAAGTCTTGTTAATAATATTATTAAAGCCTTTGGTACTTTTAATAAATTTTGTACATAGTTTATTTTAATAATATAAGTCAATTTAAAATTTTAGTTAACTCATTTCTAAAAAAAATGGTTGAACTTTTTTTTTAAATACTAGAGCGTATTAACTTTTTATGTTATTATCGCAAATACTGTATTAATGTTAAATTAATTTACAATGAAATACAAAAGACCCCGGCACTTGTCACCTTTCTTATGTAAAATTGGTTTCAGTTAAATTGGGTAAAACTTTGCAGATCAATTGTTTTTAGTTATAGAGCATTAAAGTGTCGGTTTTTAGTTATTAATTATTTCGAAAAGTGGACTAAAATCTGACATTTTGAAGCTCAATAACTCAGAAATAATTGATTTCTGAGTCTTGGGACACTTACTACTTTTAATCAGCATGACCGAATCTACTTTTGTGTATAGTTTCAGCCAATTTAACTGAAATCACTGTTACATAAGTAAATAAGAAATATACCAGAAATATGTGCACGGCAAAGATAACCAATGAGTTTAAGAGTTTCATCTTGTGTCGCGTTTTTAGGAAGGTCAATTTTAAACATTTTTTGTAACTCTACACCTATTTAAAATTTTATAAGAACATAGCACTTTCTGTTATTTTTCTGGTTTAATTTTATTGCATTAGATAATTCTTGAGAAAGTTTAAAAGCCATGAAAAATACACATAAAGATGTTTTATATTTTTGCATAAAAACAGAGCCTTATATAAAAAAGCCACAAGGAAAACAATTCCTGTAGCTGGCTGTATACCACGTATCACAAAAAAAGAGATTAGTCTTCGTAAGTGGGTATATTTATTTAAAAACCCTTAAAAGGGCTACATAAAAAAAAACAAACGTTTTCGGACTAAACAGTCCATCATCAGGTTTAAAATCGCCTAAAATAAGTATAAACCATTTAGTTAAAACAAACGTGGTTATGAAATTTTGACTATGATTAAAAAGCAAAAATGGCTATACTTACTAAGTTAAAATGCCTGAGCCACCAAAATACATGGGTAAAAACCCTTTACATTACATATAGTTATAAAAGATTATACATCTTGTTGTTAAAAAACTGTGATGTTCACTAATAAATTAAATATGACTTCAGGTAACATACATTGCAAAAATTGAGTTCCAGAGCCGGGGAGAAAACCTCTACGCACGGAGAACAGCTGGAAACTGATTTACAATATACCTATGAAAGGTGTCAAAAACAAAATGTCAATGTAACATAGAACTATATTAGTTATACCTAGTATTACTACAGCCAAAAGATTTAAAAATTAATTTTTTATGATTTTAAAAAATAATAACAGCAACATAGGTGTTGGGATTTAAAATTTGGGTTATAATCGATGTGAAATCACCAATGGTGTTAAAGTCATGTTTAAGAGGATGACCTGTGTATTAGGCAACCTATGTTGCTTTTTGTCGTATGGAATATGGTCTAAAAGTGTATTTTATGTTAGATTAGCTTATATATATATGAAAATTATCCTTTTATGTTTATTACATCTAGGACAGGTAAAAAATTTAATAGCAAATATTTGAAGCTAATATAAGACCTTGTATTTAAATGACAATTTAAGACTGTTGGTATGGTGAGAAATTAATAAAAATATGTTTGGTAAATTGAAAATCTACAGGCTGAAGAAATCAGAGTTATAACCTATGTGATTAATTTAAAATTGAAGAGGCTGAGCTCCTCAGAGACTTAATGAGAATAAAAGTAGAGGAAATGACTGAAGAAGGAGGGGATGGTTAAACGAGAAAAGGAGTTAATCAACAATTAAAGATAATAGGGGTACTTTATGCTTACAGGATCTAGCACCCTGAGCAAAATGTATTTTAGTAGTAATAAATTCGGTTTGTAAAAACCTAAAATTTTTTGTATAAGTGTGCTACTAAGTTGTTGACCAAGAGAAGGTGAGCAATGTTGGATAAGGATTTTGTAATAGGGGAAAAATATATGAATTTTGAAAAACAGTTAGATGATGTTTGAATGATTACTGACTTTAAAAACTATTGAGTGCATGTTAGATATATGAGTTGACCAAGAAATAATGAAAGAAAAGAAAGGGCAGGAATGTGATGTAGATGTGAAGGGCAAATAAGTAATGTTTAACCAATACATATTTATACTTATACTTTATACTTATACTTATTTTAGGCGATTTTAAACCTGATGATGGACTGTTTAGTCCGAAAACGTTTGTTTTTTTGATGTAGCCCTTTTAAGGGTTTTTAAATAAATATACCCACTTACGAAGACTAACCTCTTTTTTTTGTTATATAAAAAAGAAGTAAGATTTTTTGTCATAATTTAAACAAAATCAAAACTTGATTTTTAATTTGAAACATCTCATAGTCGTACCATTTTTTTCTTGATTTTTGATTTTCAAACAATAACTATGTTTTATAAAAGTTATCGACATCATGGACCATTTAAGCGAAATGCAACGCACAGAAATTTGAATGATGATAGGTTATGGAGATAGGATCCACTTGGATGTAATATTATCAGTGCAAGAAAATCCTCATAAACCTACCTATCAAACTGGATTGAAGCAATCTATATGTTAAAAGTCTGTTTTAAAGTCTCTAAAAGAGAATAAGTGGTACCCATATAAAATGAAAGTAATTCATGAACTTAATGAAAATGATTTCGATCGGAGACAAGAATTTTATGAAATATTGATGGATCGATGTAATCATGATTCGCAATTCCTACAGAAATGTGTTTTCACAGATGGGGCCACCTTCATAACAGGTACAGGAAATAGGCAGAACTGTATGTACTGGACACAAGAGAACCCTCATTTAGAAGAGCACACTCATTATCCACCGACATATAACGTGTGGGTGGGAGTAGTTGGAAAAAAAATTGTGGACCCATTTTTTATTGATCGTACAGTGAAAGCTGACCAGTATTTTGATTTACATCAACAGCGACTAATTCCTTCACTTGCGGCTCTATACTCAAATCATCAAAATCCTCAGCTACGCCTAAGTAATATTTTTCCTAATATATCAATTGGCAGCCAACGATTTTTAGAGTGGCCAGCTGATTCTCCCGATCTGTCTCCACTAGATTTTTTTATGGGGATAACTTAAGTCTAAAGTTTAAGTTAACAGACCATATAGTAATGATGAACTTACCGAAAGCATTAGGACCGAAATTAATTTAATATTCCTGATACCCTTAATAATACTTTGCAAGAGTTTCAACATCGTCTCGCATATTGTCAAAAGGCAAGTGGTTTGCAATGTAACCCTTTCCCTGTCCTGTGCATTACATGTGATACACTGGCATTATTTTTGAAACGTCTGTGCATTATATATGATACTCAGTGAATAGTATATTTATAATGAAATATTTCTTCAAAGCGCATGAGATATATTCATTGAGCATTGCTAGTCGTGTCATTTAAAAGTATATTTATGACCAAGCATATGATATTGGCTGTACCGGTTAAGTCTGAGAAAGGAAACTCGATTTTCATATTACCTCACGAAAAGAAAGGTATTTCTAATTTGTGCTGCTATTTTATACTACTATTGAAAATAAAGTAAAACAGGATTTCTATATTATTTATTGATTAAAAAAATGTATATAAATTCCAAATTTTGCGACACAAAAAAAAACTTAAATATATTTCTATGACTAAAAAATAAAAAGCAAAAATTCAAATTATTTTTCATGATTTTCATTGAAACATGGTAGGCAGAATGATTTCTCGCAAATTCTACACTCCATAGATACTTGTTTTGCTTCTTTCAGAGCTTTTTTACGATTGTGTTCCAGACTAATTTTTTTATAACATCCATTACACCGTCTGCGTTGAATTTTTCCATTTTCTTTGCGTGCAATGTTTGTTAGTTCATGAACTTTTCGAATGGGCTTTTCTATTTTTTGCTTGGTATCGATTCCAAGTAAAGATTCCGCCAAACATTTGGTAAATAAAGCTAGTTGCATTGGTTTATTACTATAAAATTTTTTATATAAGACCCAGCTATTAACAACTGCAATACTAATACATTCAAAAAGGACTTTTCTATACCATTTGACACTTTTACGAGCAGGACTGTAGTAAGAAATCATTTGATCTGAAAAGTCTATACCACCTTTAATCCTATTATAGTCTAAAACTGAAGTAGGTTTTCTAATTATTTCACCTTTGCGATTTCTTCTCTCCGTTTCCTTCATGTCAGATCCATGGAACGTTGAAACCATATAAATTGTTTTCTTATCTTGATACTTGAATAGTCGAATTCCGTTAGTATTAATTGCACCTATAACTTGTCCTTTGTTTAGTTTCTCTGTTTTGACGTCATTTGGGATACCACTTCGATTAACCCTCATTGTTCCACAGTATTCTGTGTTTCTATTTTTTTAAAAAGTGGCTAATGAAATACTGCTGTACCAGTTGTCTGCTACAAGAGTGCGACCTTCGTCAAGTAATGGCTCAGATAAAGAAACAACAACAGATCCGGGGTGGTCTAATCCAGGTAATATTGTAGACGTACCCTGTCCGCAGTATATGGAAAAATTCCATATATATCCTGACATCTCGCATAACTTAAATAATTTTATTCCATATTTATGAGACTTACCGGGATTATATTGCCGAAATAGTAGTCTTCCTCGGTGAGAAATCATAGTTTCATCGACACTTATTTCTTCCCCTGGGGTATAGACCTCTTGAATTTTTGAAATAAACAACTTGATGAAAGCATCTATTTTGTATAATCTATTGTTAGGTTGAGCTGTTAAATTATCACAAACGTGCCAGTTTTTCAGTATCAAAGAGAATCTGTTGTAGCTCATTCCAATTTGGTGAAACATTGGATGGTAAAATAGACTGTCTCGTCGCCAATAATCTTCTATGTTCGGGTATTGGATAAGTCCAGTTACAAGCAGAACACCTAAAAATTTTTTCATCTCGCATGATGTTACATTGAC